CGTTCTCTGGAATGAAATTGCCCTCAGCTCTCTTTGGTCGCCTCTGACGTTACCTACATTCTTGAGATTAAAATAGCTGTTCATTCCCTTGATACTTTATATACAAATAACTATTCCTACTATGGGTTTATTCATAAGAAATAAATAATTTTCCGAAAATAAAATAAATAGTTATTTATACAGTACGGTTTTGTAGTTAAAAATTGACCAGGTACCTAATAGAGGAGTGCAGAAATAGTGTAATCGAAAAAAACTTACAGAATTGCTATTTTATAAATAATGTTATTTAACTTCAATACACCTGTTGGTACAAGGTTTGAGRGAATTATTTATTTGTCAAAATAAAATTTCATTTTTGCAACAAATAAAAAAATCGTATCCATAAAAGAGAAAATTCACTTTCTAATTTTGACACTGTCATCATTTGATTTAAGTTGTTGTTATACAGGGTGTTTATAGTCGTGAGAATAAAATTTAAAAGAGATGATGTGCACGATATGGAAAAACTAATACGCTATATAAAATAAAAATTGACATTTTGAAAGTAAATAATTGTTTTTTTTGCACGACAGAGAGTAGAATTCAACTTTTCTTATGTCAAAACAGTGACAAAAGTCAAAATTTTTTCCTAAGGAAGAAAAATGACTGTAATGATTATAACGACGTGTTACTAAGTYATTGTCATTCATTGACAAGCTTATTGCCAACAAACATTTTTATTATTATCACAATGGAATTTTAAAGAATTCTAGCTTTATGCTAATTTTTGAATTTTATTAAGGAATTACAGCGAATTTCTTAATTTTTTTAACTCAAATTGTGCAAAAAATAGTATATACACCACTGGAGAGAATTTTATTATTCTTTTGGCACTTTAGGTATAATCGTACATTTTTCTCTCTTTAGGTATATACCTAGATATSTATAACATACTTGTTTGAAAACTACTGCTTCAACTACAACAATGGCTTTTAGTGTCATAACCTTGTGCTTTACCGTAAATCAGAACCACGACAAACAATTTATTGTTTTAATATTTGCGATTCATTTTTATAAATTTGGAAAAAAGTCAATAAAAAACTAATCAAACCTGTTAAAAACTATATTTCATTGGAAGCGATTAAACAGAAGATCTTCGAATTTTAATAAAAATCAGAGCAAAACCAAATTGATTTTTTATTATGCTATTGTCTCAAAGAATAAGCCTCATATGAATGTCAAACATTAGGTAGAAATAACTTACGTTTTTTTTTTTTTTATATAAATACGCAATTTTTTAAATTTTGTAAATATTTGAAATACTATGCAACTATAACATTATTAGACTACGGACTATTTTGTCATAAAAAACATATAGAAGTAGGTTTAAAAAAGTAAGTACTTCTTGAGGGACTTTTTTGAGTTACTGTTGGGTACTCGAAGGACCAATGCGTTATGAGGACGATATTAGCAAAACAATTTTTTCAATTCGAAATGTAACTTATTGTTATTTTTCAACAGACTATAAAACTTTGCGCACCTTGTATACATGCATATGAACATATGCATTATCATTATCATGATGCATGTCATTTTTAAGCGTTTGGTGCAGCAAAATATGTAAAAATATGAAAATAACTAACGTAAAAGCAAATTAAAATTGTCATGTGTCAAACACTCGATACAAATCAAAAGCCCCTCCTCCTCTAAAAGCTTGTCAATCAAACCTCCCGTGGCGCGTTTTTCGCTCTTCATCATCGTCCGTTGTTAATTAAACCAACCGTAAAAATCACGTGGACAAGTTCCGCTGCCAATGATAATAACACCTGCGTATGCTTCGTTAAGATTCCTTCACATTAAAAACATCCAGACGCTACCTCACTTATAATTTTAGTGAATGACAGCGTCGTCCCCCAATGACCAACTCGCCCGTTTAACAGGTAGAGGGGCCGAAGGTCACTCGGCTTATCCGAATTAGGGACTCCGATAAATCAATCGTCAAGTCGGCGTTGCCGACCTGACTCGACAGATGACAATCTGGTCGTGGGCGGGCGAGATTAGCGCGGTGGGGTCGTCAGACGCGGCTGATTGGACGCGTCGTGACATCGGCGCATCGACTAGGGCGTGGCGCGGTGGTTAAGGCGTGGCCAATGCAGCATCCCTGAGAGAGACGCACGGGGCCTTAGATGCATCACTATACCGACGGTAAACTGCACGGTGGCTGGGTTCGAAACGTCGCGAGTGTTGTGCTGTGCTGTTTTGACAGATCTTGTGGATTATGGGCGGCGTTGCCAGGTAATCGCCTCAACTGTCTTGATAAACGAATTAATTATAATTGGTGGTRATTTTTCGCGACTATCTTGATCCTTTGTTGAGGATTATTAATTGTCTTGGTTTTCCGGTCGGAAAACAACAATTAAACATGGAAGTTTATATTTTWGACTTTTTAAGCGATAAAGACTGGTCTTCTTTGATGATAATACATGATAATTGCAAGAGTAATGGTTAGTAAAGTGAAAKAGTGGGGGTGCTGCTGTCAATTATAACAGTCATTTGTCTTATTTTACAWATTTTATATCAGCTCAAGTTAGTGCTGATTATGTTTAAACGAAGTTATTGCAATTTAATTTACTTTTGACATGTTATAAACTGATTTTATTTTTCATTTTATACATAAAATAAAACTTTTTAAATGTTTGTTCTATATTTTTGTTTTTTCTTTTATGCTTCTACTTTTGTAGTTATCATTGTCGTGTTTCTGATAATTTGTTTAATTTAATAAATATTTTATCACTGGTTGGAAAAACTTTTTTCTCATCATACYAGTTAGTGAAAAATGTAATATAAAGCCTCAAAAGTACCACAATTTTTTTGGAAAATAAATACAGGCTGCGCCAGAACTCGCGCCCCAGAGAAAAATTTCAAGTAAGATAAGATACCAGGAACATGGAAAAAATGTTTAAAAAATTTTGACATTTATTTTTTGCCATTTGACATTATTTTATGTCTATTTAATGATACTGATGATCTTGAATATGTTTTTTTATAATTATTTAGTGAAGGTACAACAAATTTTGCCAATAAAAGCCACAAATAACATTAAACAGAGATACAATTTAAGATACAGCTTTCTTGTTTTCTCTTCTAATAGCTTGAACAATTATTTTTCCAACAAAAATAACTAGAGTCAAAGTGCAAAATTTAAACTTTTATAACTTCGAAATTTTTATAGATAGAATATTTTTAACATTTTTTCCATGTTCCTGGTAYCTTACCTCACATGGCATTTTACTCTGGATCGCGAGTTTTGGCGCATCCTGTACATATATTATCACAGTTAGTTGTATTGCACTAAAAGGTTTACTCCCACACAAATACAGCGACTATAACGCAAATATTGCAACTAGGTATATCTATGCTGATTAACTTTGTACTTACCGATAGTACCTACCGATACCTACATCTCTATACACGTGCGGTAGGTGATTACACGTAAAGTTATAATATTGAAGCTCGAAGCGAAACTGAGAGCTTTAATAAAACTGAACGCTATAAAATACCTAACGCACAAATAATGTACAAAACTTTTTGGCCGAGAAAAAAAATTTAGATATGTATTTTCAGTGTTGCCAACTTAATTTCACAATCATAGTATGCTTTAAATTTTCATTTTTTTTTAATTATATTTAAAGGTGAGTGAAAGTGCGGCTCTTATCATGTCATTTTGATTCCCCCTAACAACCATCAAAACGGTTTTGATATTGCCGMTTGCAAGTTTTAAAATTGACACAGTGTATATTGTTACAGAATAAAAATTGTATACCTAATATTACCAGGGTAGAGATTTCAGAATTGTGCAAAAATTATATCTAAACTCTTCGCAAAAACTGTATTTTAGGTACTTGTACCTTAAATAACAGTTTTAGGTATTTTGTTATRGAGTCCAAAAAAGGCTTATTTTAGGAACTTAAATGACTCCGTAAAATAACCATTTTCGTAAGCGTGTACAAAAAAGGTATAACTATTAACTATGTTGATTTTAAACGAATTATGACGTCTACAATACACACGTGTGTTATAATGCCATAATACACTAAAAAAAACAAARTGTTTATTAGGTATATGATGATGATATGATGATTAAAATCTGAATCACTGAATAACTGTTTTSGAGAAATGCTCTGATCACATTATTAATATAGGTTTACAGGATCCATAAAAAGTATGGATACAGCTAAATACTTTCTTATAGAGCACTTTGAAATTTGGAAAATAGTTTACTTATTTTTTGGKCAAAGTTAAAGCGGCAAAGAGATAATGATAGATAAAGACAACATTTCCARGGCTAAAAAAAGATTTWGTTCGATTTTTTTTTAAATAAGGTAGGTATATGCGCATCTGTTACATTTTAGAACTCAGAAAAAAGTACCTACCTTAATACCTAGTTATTTATTATACAAGACGATAGAGAAATTGTTTATCTACGARTAAAAAAGTTAAGTTTACGAGTGACGAAGTCACGAGTGAACTTTTTTCACGAGTTGATAAACAATCTTTATCGTCGTGTATACCTAATATTTCGTTTTATTTTGTACTCACCTACCAGAATTTCTTGTACAAAATAAAGAATATAAACAGTAGATAAAAATTACTTTATTTTATTAGCGATAAAAGAGTACTTTATCTTCTGAAATTAATTAATAAAATATAAACAGTGGATAAAAATTACTTTATTTCGCTAGGCGATAAAAAACTACTTTATCTACTGAAATTAGTTGATAAAAGCACTCTTTAACATTGAGCACAAATAAAAATATTAAATTTGACCTTTCTTGTCATAAAAAAAATCAAGTCAGCCTTGTATCCTCAGAACAAATGGAGACAGAAGTTTGATAAACATCTGAGACAATTGAATTTAGGTAAATACTTTTAAGCATGTACCAAATTTTAGTGAATAGTTTTTATAATATTTAACTATATCCATACTTTTTAGCGASCCTGTATAATAAGAGATTTGAATGTGTTTTTAGGAGCTCTAACAAAAATGTTGTTATAACATGTGTCTAAAAAGTTTGTTTTTTTGTCTTTTAATTTTTCTATTTATAATTGTTTTCATTGTTAAACTTTTTTTTTAAATGCAATWGGAAAAATATTTCTACCACTTTTAAAAATTATCCTTTTATTAAATTTTACTATTTTGGCCTGATTACTAAGCGCACAATGAATATGTTATTAGATGATTATGAAATAGAGAAAATAGAAGAAAATTGAAAACAGCACTACTAGAATAGAAAAACAATTGCCACTTAATTGCCAAATTTTTGTCAACTTTGCTAACTTTCAATTGACACATTTCAATTTTTTTTTATATACATTTTTCTTGCTTCATTTAATATTGTCATCAGTGTCAGTACCATTGCTGACTTCTTCCTATATAAAAATATGAGGAACATATAATTTCTATTTTACAATAGCTTTTACAAACGGTTTTTTATATTTTATAATTGTGCCTTTCTTATTGATTTAACATTTTAATCAAAAATAATGAATATGTACACAGATTACAGATCAATTTAATTTTATCTTCGGTCGTGAACCTCTTAAAGTTTGCTACAAAGTTTTTTCTAAGATCTTTAATAACAATTTTCATTAATAAATAAATGAAAAATAACAAAATCAAAAAAATTCTTTACAAAAAAAATGCATTATAAAAAAATAATTGTCTTAATTTTTAACTTAGATATACCTACACATACTCATTCATCGTTAGATTCAAACAAAACACCCGAAAGAAAAGTTTCTAAAAATAATTTATAATTATTTGTAAACATTTAACGCTCRTATGCAGCTAACAGCAAGTGACATTTATTTTATTATCTCTATTTAGTAAAGTACTGCACTTTAGATATGCAAGCGTACATAATACGCATTTCTCTCAGACATTTATGACAAGATCTTGTGATATGTTTTACGATTATTCAATTAGGTAACCAACTACTGAACAGTAGCAAAATTAAAATTTCTTTTAAACGCTTTAYAGATTAATACAAGAAAAATATTTTATGCGACCCTTGGTGAGAGGTGGGTTCCAGTCAAGGTTCTCCACCACAAACCAATGCTGAAATTCTTTGTCTTTAAGTCCACTTGCTATTTACATCAATTACAAACCCATGTATTTGCTCTTAGCGATTTATGTCACGTTTGCGACATTATCGCTTGCCGTAATTTACTCTACGTTATAAATAAAWGCCAGTCATAAATATCCCATTTCTGATTTATCCCATTTTCCTCCCGCTTCCAGCGCCGACTCAATTCCAAAGCCATAAAATCCTCAACGGCACCTCCTCTTTTCCTCAATTACGCAACAATTAAAACAATATTACACGCGGTTTGTAAAAGGTGCAATTTGTTGTTGTAAAGTTGGCGAACATGCGCTGTAATAAACAAACCRCCGCCGCCGATTTATTAGTCTCAGTTGTAGACCTGATGCAATTATTGAAAGTTGTTCGTTCATTTTCTTCAGCTCCCCAAGTTAATTGATTCTTTCTYGTTGTCCTCGTCATGGTTTTAAGGCGTCTTTGTCTCAGCGGCGAGTGGAGTCATTCAAAGCCGATGGTTTATTTGGTTTGTGGAAGCACGGGACAGACCTATGCGCTGTTAATTTGTTAATTGCTAATTGTAATTGCGCTATAGTGTCGGATTTATGGCTGAGAGGATGTCTGCACTGCGACGGATGCTGCGGTGATGCTAAATTGGCGATGAAATTTATGGAGTGAMGCAGATTTGGTGGTGTTAGAACGCAAATTTTCTATTCAAAATCTGGAGTAAATTGAAAAAAGCTTTATAACRTTGATATGTGGATGATTATTTACGAAACTTTACTGTTTTTATAATAATTTAAGAAATTGGATTAATGATAACACTTACTGAAAAAGAAAAGAAATAATGGAATAGATGTAGTCGAGGGTAAAGCACTATTTCGGTAATATCACAAAGAACACAAAAAATTCTGTCTACAAATCCTAACAAAAAAATGTCACAAAACTATATTTTTTATTAAAGTATTTTGGTATACAAGTATCTCTACTACGACTTTTGCAATAATACCCAGGGTGGATTTAGAATATGTAAAAGTTATACAGAGTGTGTCAGAACTCGCGCCCCAGAGAAAGATTTCAAGTAAAATAAGATATCAATAACATGAAAATAATGTTTAAAAAATTCTTTGTCAAAAAAGTTTGACATTTATTCTTTGACATTTGATATTTTTTACGTCTATTTAATATGTAGGTATACGAGTATATGTTTTTGTATAATTATTTAGTAAAGATACAAAAACTTTGACAATAAAAGCCACAAATAACATTAAACAGAGTTACGATTTAGGATACAGCTTCCTTGTTTCTTCTTCTAATAGCTTGTAGTAAAAAAATTTGGAAAATTATTTTTTCAACAGAAATAAATAGAGTCAAAGTGCAAGATTTAAGCTCTTACAACTTCGTAATTTTTATAGACAGTATTTTTTAAACATTCTTTTTTTATTCCTGGTAGCGTACTTTACATCATTTTTATTTGGGGCGCGAGTTTTGGAGCACTCTGTATAAGTCAATAATTCAAAATTAACAATTTGTGATGATAAAAAATCTTTAAACATCAGCAATTTTGGCACTTATTGTATTTTTTTTTAATAAATGAAGATTCAATTTTTTTAGGTCTCACAAAGCTGCTGAAAAAATATTGAAAAGCTTTAAAAATTATRAATTATTTGCTCTATTAATTAGTAACTTTAATAATTTAATTTGTTTTACAACTGTATGAAAAATATTTCAACATTAAGGTGTCCGGAAAATCGCGCACTTCCTTGAAAGGGAGTAACTGGGTAACCCTCCAAAGTACTGAAAAAATGTTTAAAAATTCTATGTCAAAAAATTTTGACATTTATTTTTTCACATTTGACATTTTTTTATGTCTATTTAATAATACTGATAATCCTGTATATGTTTTTTATAATTATTTAGTAATGGTACAAAAATTTTGCCAATAAAAGCCACAAATAACACTAAATTTAAGATACAGCTTCTTTCTTTCCTCTYCTAATAGCCTGTAGCAAAAAAACTTGAAAAATTATAGAGTCAAGGTGCAATATTTAAACTCTCATAACTTTGAAATTYTTATAGATACTTTTTTTTAACATTATTCATGTTGTCCAGGGCATTACCCGATGATACGTGTCACGAAAGAGCGCGACTTTCCGGACAACCTGTATATAGGCTGAWTTATCTAAGATAATGAGCTACAAAAAAATTAAATGCAACATAAAATACATTCTGCAAAAAATTTAACAAAAATTACATAAAATTGCTAAAGACAAGAATGAATTGAAGATTGTAGAAAATAAAAATTGTCAAAACCAAAATTTAAGAGTTGTTTTGCGTTTTAATRCTGTGATATAAATGTAATAAGTTGTACCTCAATACTTTACCTTGTTTTTTGTAAAATTTTTATTAATTTTCTTTAAAAAAAATTGTTAAATTGTACAACATTTTTCGGAGAAATTACAATTACAGTTACAGCTACATAAGTTAAATTTTTCCCTTTTTTTAAGTATGGAGGTGTGTTTAATAAATTGACTTTTTTAGAATTCAACGTAAAATAAGAAATCGTCTTATTCTAAGCACATACYTAGTTGTTTTCGAGTTACACCATACATTTTTTCACTAATTTAGGAATTATTAGGCAGAATAAAAAAAACACATTTAGTTAATTTTTTAGCAACATTCTTCAGATCGTCAAAATCTTAGCAAGATGACATGAAAAAGGAATAAAATATTCCGAATCGTTGTTTGAAACTTATTTCTTCTACAGGTGATTCAAAAGTCGCGAATCACCTCTTATTGGGTGGTGATAAAAGACATCCAAATGAGTTAATACTTTTTATGACAAAAAATTGTTTGAGGCTTTATTCACAAGATATAGCTCTTCAAAGGTTAAATTTTGAGTTAAGATTATGTATTCTTGAATTTAGTTTGCGTAAATTCAAGCATTATTGTTAAAAGAGCAGCGTTAGTTTTTATCAGGGGGAGTTTTAAATTTACTTTGTTTGCTTCACCGTGAAAAGTAAAAAAAAATGCATTAAAATGGAAAAATGTACCGAGAGCAATTAACTTGGAAAAATAAATATGTACTACTAATTCTAATTTCAAAAAAAAAATCAGTAATTCCAAAAAAAATCTACCAAAATTCTAGTAATTCCAATAATCCATGGTATTTTCATTGCTTTCAGATTAATCCTCATAATTCCAAATTAATTTTTGTAATTCTTACTTTCAACGTAATTTTCTTAATCCGAAAACAAATTTCTGTAATGTAAAATATATTCCAATAGTTCTAAAAAATTTTTTGGAAAAAAATTATGTCTGATAATTCAAAAAAAAATCAGAATTTTAAAAACAATTTTTAGAATAACTCTACAAAAATTCCAGTAATTCTCAAATAATTTCAGTAATTCCAAAATTTTTTTATCGAAGTTTTAATAATCTATTATATTTCAATTATTTTCAGATTAATTTCTATAATTTCAACTTAGTTTCAGTAATTCTAATTTAATTTTTGTAATTAAAAAATGATTCCTGTAATTTCAAAATAATTCAGATGGTTCTAACTTAGTGTAATTTTTAAAAGAAACTGTCCCCGATAAGTCTAAAAAGAATTCCAGTAATTCCAAAAAGAATTCTAATGATTCCAAAAAAAAGCTTGCAATTCCAGAAAAATTCCAGTGATTTTCAAGTAATTCCAAACAATTCAAATATAATTTTAATAATTTTAAATACATCCAAAATAATTTTATTAAAATTCCAAAAATTTGTACAACTAACTCCAGAGGTAACGGTCCCCTGGTATATACTTTTAAAACTCTTATAGTGTGTTTAATTTTTTACGTATTTGATTTGATAAATATGTGATTTAACAATTAGAAATGATTGTTATCATAAGGTATTAATTAATTCACGTCTCTTGTACTTTTTATTAAAAAAAAATCGACGACACCATTTTGAATCAATGAATCAAATCAACAGTTYGTCTAACCTACTTGTGTTCTGTGTAACGTTTCTCGCCCACTGTGTATATTTTTCTGTCCCATATCTSCTCGCCGGCCGTCTGGGCGCCTATCTCGCGGAAAGCGCCACCAGACCTCTATTACCAAACCGTTACACTTGCAATTAAATTTCACTCCACTTGAATTTTTGCACCTTTTAATGTTTTTCCCCATCTAGGTAGCCTCAACTTCAGCTTCAGTCGATTTTGGGCTCGTGCAAGATGCTGAAGGAGCGCGAATCGATCGAACGCGCCATCTCCTCGCCGTGCTCCAGCCTTGGAGGTTCTTCGGCCGTAGATGGGACKACATGTGCCGGCTGCAGAGGCAGAATCCAGGACCGTTACTACCTCCTGGCCGTCGACAGACAATGGCATGCCTCCTGCTTGAAATGTTGCGAATGTAAACTTCCTCTGGATACGGAGCTGACTTGTTTCGCCCGAGATGGGAACATTTACTGCAAGGAAGATTATTATCGGTGAGTGCTTTCAAATGGGAATACAGCATGTCGAGAGGTTTTATATTGCCTGTACTCGGACCTTTTTGCGCTACAATAACATAATCCATTTATGTGCGAACGGGAAAGAGATTTATTGGGTGGACGCACGCATCGCGGAAGAAATAACTACCTACATACATGCTGAAAAGAATTCTTCAGTTGCGCATTTTAATTCCAAGGAAAATTTTAAGCTCGGGTGTGGAATGCTTTTAATGTAGCTAGATGCAACAATTCGATCGCGTTCTTGCGTCTCACAATTTTTCAATTTAGTGCACACTAAAATTTTGAAGAAATTTTTTTTAGTGCGACAGTTTTCATTACATTTATGTCATATATAAAATTTAAAAAATCGTGTTTTTTATTTTTTTTTATCTATAATTTACCATTTAAAAATATAATGTATAAAAATATAATACAATTGTATAATTTAACTTGCATTTTTTTATAAAAGATAATCTATTTAAGAATGTGTAAAGTGACAGTAAAAAAATGCTTATATTTTCTAATAGGTACTTACCTATTTRGTATTCAATTTTTTTCTAAACTGAAATGATATCAAATAATTTCAAACAGCTAGTCAGCACTGTTTTCTATACAGGATGTTTCAAAATATGTACTAAAAATATGTTTTATCTAAGTTTATAGAACACCACCATATTATAATTTTGTATTTTGTATTTCGTACAATCATTTATGTTAAATGTGAATTATGTATTTTTTTTTCAATTTCTGAAATTTATTTTGTTTTATATACATTACATTAATAAATACAATATACAGTATGTCCCCGGATTGAGTTTACAAGAGGAAAAAAAAATCTTTGATTTTACGCCGAAACTGCAAAGGAAAAACATTTTTTTCTCTACCTTAAACCAGCAAATCTGTAATTAAAACTTCATTATTGTAACTTAGTAGAAATTTTTTTTATATTTTGGACTTATAATAATAATTTTTCTTTGCTTTTTAAGTCCTATCACATTAGAGGTTTAATTATTTTAAGAATGATGTCACTTTGACAAATGAGTTTACGAGTTAAATAACAAAAATGTTTGTGAAAAACATAATTTTAATAAATAGCAACTCAAAGAAAAGCTTTAAGATAAAAACCAAAGTCATTTTTAACAAGGACTATTATTATTTAATTAATAAGTAACATATAGTTGTCAAATTAATAAAACCGTCAATGTGATAACTTAAAAAGCAGAGAAAAATTATTCTAAGTCTAAAATCAAAGAAAAAACATATTTTTTACTGAGTTAGAATAATGAAGTTCTAATTACAGACTTGCTCGTTTCAGGTAAAGCAAAAAAWKKTTTTYC